CGAATTTATAATACTTGTTAATATTCTTAGCACACAAATAAATAAATAAAAAATCCCACTAAAGTTTTGGATAACTTAAAATTTCCATTTTCAAATATTTTTTTTTAAAGCCCTTAAATTGTGCACGATTCTCAAACGAAAATTGACCGATATCTTGTCAGCATCAAAGATTAAACTTTTCTTTGGTTAAAAACGTAACTTTCACAAATTCAAGATGGATGTCAGTGAGTTACATTAACGTCGCAGTATAAGGCTCCCTTCTCACCAAACGATTCCGAGTCTGTAGCACTCTTTCCAATTCACAGCGATTCTGAATCAACAGAGACTTGCCTTCACACCGCCACGGGTCAATCATTCTTCCATCAGTTGCTGTCGAGCAAGGATGCTGTTTTTAATATTTTAAGACAATTAACGTTTCAAGCTATTAATTTCACAAATGTATTTTAAATTATTTTGAAGATGAAATACATAAAACAAAAAAAATATAACAACGGTTTTATTTATTTATTTATGTTTTTATATTTTGCCTATTAGTATCAATTGTAACTATAGTCTGAAAAGTAGTAACAAATAATAAATATGTATTGTGTAACTAAATAAAAACGCAATTACATTTACAAATAATATATCTAATGTTTTTAATGTTAATGTCTATGTTCTACAGCTTTTGTAGCATATATCAACTTGTAGTTTTTTGATTATGTATTTAAAAATGGTTTTCTAATACATTAATGAATAAAAAATTTTACATGCCATTTACATTTTGTTAGTTTTAAATAGCAAAATTTGAGATCTATGTAGTAATAAAATGAAATCTTTTTTAAAAATTAAAATTATCGACAATTTTGGTGTTTTATTTTATTTTAGCATTCTTATAAATATTTAATTTTTTTTCTCCCAAAATTAAATAAATTCTTATCAAATTGATTTCCGAAGCTATTTCAAATATCCTTCAGAATATTCCCCGCCCCACAAAAAAAAAAAAAAAAAAAAAAAAAAAAAAAAACAATTTGCTTTGAAGTATTATTAAGTGACTAGCTGTGGTATATACCCGTTCTTCGCACGGGCGAACTGAAAAATTAAACACAGATTGAAGGAAAAAGAAGTTTTTAATGAGTTAATTTTATGTGAATTGCAAATTAAACAAAGAAAAAAAAGCTTTTTGTATATCACAGCTAAACAAAACAAAAAAACACCTTTGTTAAATTTTAAGTATGTAGATCTAATAGCTGATAAAAAGATTTTTTTTTATTTATAATTCCTCGTAACACACTCTTGAGGGTCGATTTTTCAAAATACCTCCCAAAGCTGATCTCTGCTCAGCAAAAGTAACACATTGTTAAAAGTTTTGCGTAATGAACGCTTAAAGTAGTGTCAATAATTTATATCTGAAAGTGTAGTACATTAATATTACTTTCTGTTGTATTTATTTTATTTTAAAATTGTAATATTCGCAAGCAACGCCGTTTCTTAAATTATAATGGCGATTTAATGAAAAACATAGCGAAATGTTAACGATAGAGTCAAGTTGGCAAATGCCTAGCTACTTTCGTAGCTCGAGCTTTATTAGAGCTTTGTAAGACCCGCCGTGTAGGGGCGAAATGCACTTTAATACTTTTATCCAACCGCATTATGATTTACTGCAGTTTTTTTCATATTTTTTTTGGATCACTATATTGAAAATTAAGGGATATACATAAACGAAATACTCCACTTTGGGAAATTTAATCCGTTAGAGATAATAAATTAATTAAAGATATTCCACTGTAAAATTAATTATATACACCGTTCACTTAAAATAAATAGTCAAATCGTTTTCTAAGGTCTTCATTAACATACAAAAACATAAAAGACACTTAAATTTTGACATTAACTATTTTTTTGCGACAAAAATAATAATCTTTGCAATCCGCTGAAAACGCAATACCTGCTACAAAACTGTTCGCCTTCCCCACTAAAATACTCATCATAGAACCCGTGCTGCCATATATCTTGGAAGAGTGGATTTCAAAGAATATTACAGCTAAGTATTGGTAGAATATTCCTGCTAAGTTGGTGTGGTGTGGTAGTTAGGAGAAGGGGGTGCCAGCTCAAGTGTCGTTCCCGTCACTTGACCATTGTTCAAAATTACGTGGTCCGTCTCCAAAAGCCCTCGTGTAGCTGAACAGTGCGACGTTAATATTCACTCACTGCAAAAAATACAGTGCAGTAGTTATAATTAGTTTTATACTTAAAAATGCAATATCTGCATATTCAATTAAAATTACAGCGTTATAATTAACTACTAACCACAAAAAATTATGAAAGTTTGTCCAAATGATGTAGTGTGAAAGAGAAAGTTTATTTACTTTAAGTACCAGAAGCGATAAAAGTAGTTATTTTGAAAATAGATCAACTTCTTACTACCAAACGTTTATAATAAAATCATAAAAAAAACATTAAAATAAAGAGATTTATAACAACCTCTCCCTTCAAAACTTAGTTTTATTCTGAAATAAAAAATAGGCATTATTCTGATCACAGGAATTAATTAGAAGCGAGCCCCTTGCGTAGCCAAAACAAAAAGAGTTTTTCACAAACAAAAGATAGATATATGCTGACGTGGCTTTTTTGCTTGCAGATGGCAGCATTTTTTCATTCTTACTTGACAAATATCGTTATATTTTGGACACTTTTTACAAATTTTTATAAATTATAGCCTATGTGTTATTCTGATATATAAGCTATATTACTGTAAAGTTTCATTAAAATCCATTCAGTTGTTTTTGCGTGAAAGACCCACAAAGATTCTCACAAACTTTCACATTTATAATATATATTAGAAGAATAAAGTTTACAATTTTCTAAATTGTAAAAACGAATACATGCAAAATTAATTTTGTTATTTGCGCAAGATTATTAGGGATATATATAAAATACAACCTACACACTCGGCGACAAGAACTAGAGTTAGTTTACATAATGAAAAAGAATACTATGAATACCAAAAACATAAGCGCCATCTATTGGTATAAAAACAAACTCATGCTAACCCTAACAAGAACATTAAAATCTTTAAATATCTCAAATTAGCTTCTTTAATAGAAAGTTTATGTGATACAACCACTAATAATATAAAAAAGAATAAAAATAAACACTCTATTTATTTAAATTCACTTTTTCTTTAAGAAATACATAGATCCCGGCTGCTGGTGAATCACGGAAGAAAATCTGACCTGCCGAATCACGTGTAAGTCAGAATGACGGCGGATTGAACCGGTTTCGGTTGGTGTGAATGCGGGAAGCGAATCTTAGCTAATTTGAGCGGGAAATTACGAAGCCGAATCCTGGTCGATCAGACAAGTTTGATGGTGAATGAATCGGAGTCGTTTGGTGTGAAGGGAGCCTAAAGCAACATGAGGGTTACTGGCGACAGACCTCGTAATTTTGAACCATGCTCAAGTGATGAGGAAGACACCCGAGATACAATCCCCTCTTCTACCTAACGCATCTCACCAAAGCTAGAACTTTGCGCATCGACAAACTTAACGTGCAAACTTAACACGGCGAGTCTTCAGAGTCACCAGGACTCGAGTCCGGGACATTCCGGCCACGAGCTCGTTATCTTAATTATTAGGAAACTGCGGCTACAGTTCAAGATGAGAGAGAAATCTTTCTAAATTAAATTCATAGAGAAATATTTCGACATAAATTTACATAAACTGTAAACATGAAAAATATATTTCAAGCCAATAATAATAATTATGAAAAAAAAAATGCATAATTTTCTTTTCCGTAAGATATATATAGAACAAGACCAATTAATAGGTCAGTAAGTTTTTATTTATTACAGTTTGATAGTGAATAATCATCTCGTAACCTAAACCAGAAAATTTTAAATTGCATCAGTAAAGCACAATATTAGAGAGGTTCTGTACCAAAAAACTCCCGAGAAAACTTTCGTAAAAATCACATTAAATTCTACTAATCCCAAAAGAACGTCATAACATTTAGTCAAGAAACTGCACAATATTTATCGAGCTGATCTCTAATTGGAAAAAAAGAAATAAATAACGCAGTCTGTTGATTCAGATGCTAACGTGAGCAGGTTCATCACACAAGAGGATGAGAAGTCAACTTCCGGACAAATATCAGGACTGCGCAAAATTCTTTCCAACCTCCTAGAAAAACTATAAATGTCAAGATTTGTCTTTTGAAACCTTGAAAAGCAGGCTCAAAAATTCATCCCAACGAATATGAAGTTAGTGGAATTCAATAACTGAATCACGCGGATGGTTGGCTATGCATTAAAGAACGAAATTTAGAATTCCATACACGTTTTTTTCCCACCATTTCTTTATACACCGACTAAGATGCAACGGAAATAAACATCACTGTAGTTCTCGTAAAGTCTAGATACAGGAAATAACCGTATTTTTAAAAGCCGCAGCATTCCTTAATCTTGAGGCTGCAAGTTATTTTAAGCGGATGATTGAAATTTGAAAATAATAAGTAAAAATTTGAAATAATGGTTAATAAATTGGAGCTGAGTCACTAATGTTTGCAAACGCATTAATGTAAGAGTTAAATTAAAAAACTGAAAAAAAAGATTTACTGTTTTGGCTATGTTTTATATAACTACAAAAAAAAATTTATAAAAAAAGAAAGGGCAATCTAAAAATAGTAATTTTGCAAAATTAATCAATGATATATCTTCTTTCCCAACAACTAACTTCTGAATTCTAATGTGTATTTATTCACACTATTTCTACTCTCTACTTCACTCTCTCTCTCTATATATATATATATAGATTGTTCAAATTTTCAATCGTTAATAAAATACTTACTATTTATCTATTCAAGTTCAAAGACATTTTTTTTAAACTTGAAGAGGATGACACTTGGTGTTAATACAGTTTTTTCAAATATTAAATTCATTAATTTAATTAAAAAATGAATAAACAGTAACAAACGAAAATAATAGTCCGACAGCATATGTAGAAAGGAAAATCGTTCGTTGTGTCCCTGTAAGGCTATGGCTAGAGCGTTGGACTTCTAATCCAAAGGTCGTGGGTTCGAATCCCACCTGGGACGGCCTAATTTCTGAGAATGCGATTTCTTTTACTATACTATTTTAATAGAATAATTAAATTTAATGAACGAATAAATAGTAATAAACAAAAAAAAAATCCAAAATCCTATATAGTAGAAAGGAAAATGGAAAATTGCAAGGAAAATAGCTTTCTATTTCGTCACTAATATTGTGATTCTGTCATATGTATATACATACTTATATAAATTGTAAATATTTAATAAAAAGTAACTAAAATAAAAATTTTCTTTGTTGAACTAAGTAGGCATTACCTTAAAAAAATTTTTTTTAGTACTTGGTAAACTTCGGTTTGTGAAGGATCATGTTGCATAGGATCCAACAAAAGTTATCCTGTTTGATAGATATTTAAGGTTTCAATGGGTAGGATAAAATTATGAATTTCAAAAATATTAAATCTTAAAAGCGGACGGCAGTGTCAATTTCCATCAATCAGGGCCTTTTATACTCGTACTTTCAAGGATTGTATATACTCTACTGAACTTACTAGTATGTAAGTGACACATTTATTTAAATTATTTATAAGATTTTCGTTAATAAGAAAATTACGTATTTTACATTTTTCTGTATGAATTGAATAATAAAAACATTTCCCCGGAAAAATACTTAGAGAAAGCATGAAATATATAAGTGATAGTAACAATTCACACAAAACTAATTAAAGAACAAAGCTTTCTACGTCAAAATGTATAAAATATATAGTGCACGTAATCGTTTTCCAAAAATATTTGAATTAAATTACAATTTACCCAATATATATAAAAACTGTGAAAAACATGATTATTTACAATCCTTCACATTGCAAAAGATGATTTAGTTAATTCAAAGAAATTTTACACTTCTTGCCTTTTATTATTAGCTAAACATTTTAATGGCAATATCTTGTAAATCTGTGATGGACAATTGATTGTTGCGTATGTTCAGTGAATCGATAAAGCTCACTCGCGATCACAGCAATAGTGGAAAACCGATCCCGTGTATGTTGCAAAATAATTTTTCGATGACAGCATCTGGCAACGTCTTTTTATTTGGCGAAATTGATCGATAATTCTCAAATATTTTATCTCTAATTATAATTTTACGCCACCAAGGGAAACGTTAGTTCAACTACTAATAAACTATATAACAAGTTAATCACTTTTCGATTTTATTTTACGTCTGTTTTTACCAACAATGAATTCCATTTTAATGTTTAATCCGATTGATTTTTTTTTTAAATAACAGACTCTAAGCGGCTAAAACTGTCCTCTGTAAACTTTGGTACAAATATGTTGTGGTCCAAAGTCGTTAAGTCGGGTGTCAATCACTTACCGATATCGTCATTTGTTGATTTTTCTTTACTTATTAATCACCACTAGCAGGACTTTATTTAGCATAATCTATAACGTAAATTTTTACTGTAAGCATTATTTATTAAAATAACTTTTAATTTTAAAAGCTTTGTTAAAATACATAAGCAATCTTAAAACAATAAAAAATTATGTATTTTTTAAGTAAAGCATAGATATTACGGATTCCATTTTCCATTAATGTAACTTAAATTTTAACCGCATTTCATTTCAATGGAATCATAATTTCAAGTGAAAAAAAAGCAATACATTAGTTAAAAGTAGACACAAGTTAACCAGACAATTCCACTAATCCTCATGAGCTTAGATGTAAAAGCATTACTTAAAATCTAAAAGCTTCAGGATAAGCTAAAAAATCGGATGTATCAATTGTTAGGTGTTTGGATAATTCCTCTTTGAAATATGAATTCTTGTATGTTACTACACAATAAATAAATTTAAGGAAAAGAAAACGTTTTAGAGTTTTTTCTAAGTTGCAACAGCAAAGCATATCAATACAATCATTAAAAATCTGACACAACCACTGCAGTTTATAAACAAACAATTTCAAGTTTAGGCAGCTTATTTTTATTCAATAAAAACAAACTGAATTATTCATATATTCAAATCATGCGCTTTTATGTATTGGGAAAGCTATCAGAAGTCGCACCAGATTGATCGGTTTTTCAAGGCCGTTCACCACGGAATAAATTAGGGGAAAACATCTTTCGCTTTCTTCTTTTCAAATTTGGATATTAATTATAAATCTAAGCCGAACACATAAATATTCAACAAAAAATTTTATACGATATGAGCATGAATTTTCATTTAATAGCTAAAACTTTACTCACCCTTTTTAAAGACCAAATTAAATGAAACAATATCTTAAAACATTTTAAGTCAATTCCTACTTGGTCAACAAAGAGAGAGAGACTTTTTTTTAAAAATTAATTATTTTAGTTACATTTTTATTACGATTTTCCTTGCAATTTTCCATTTTCCTTTCTATATAGGGTGTTGGACTACTATTTTTGTTTGTTGTTATTTATTTATTCATTAAATTTAATTATTCCAATAAAATAATATAGCTAAAAGGAATCACATTCTCAGAAATTATGGCATTGCAGGTGGAAATCGAACCCACGACCTTTAGATTAAAAGTCCAACGCGCTTTTCATTGTGCTACAGGGACACAACGAACGATGTTCAGTTTTGTATATGCTGTTGGACTATTGATTTTGTTCATTACTATTTATTCATTAATTAAATTTAATTAATGAATTAAAATTTAAAAAACTGTATTAACACGTGTCGTCCCCTCAAGTTTAAAAAAATATATTTGAACTTGAATGGATGAATAGAAAATATTTTATTAACGATTGAAAATTTGAACAAGATATATATATATATATATATATATAGGGAGAGTGTACATTAAAGTAGGAATTGAAAAATGAAGAAAATAAGAGAAATCTATCATTCTCATTACTTAAAAAAAAATGAAAATGTAAAAATTACGCAAAAGATCAGTTAACTGATCGTTTGTTTACGTTGGCATTGGCAACGAGCCTCATAATTTTGAGCCACGATCAAATGACAAGGACGATACTTGAGTTAGAACACCACGCTTCAAATTTTTATACCACGAATAAGTGAGAATTTAGAGCAGCAATACTCAATCTGCGGCCCGGTCTCATGCCCGGTTGTACTAACAAATTCAATTATTTAAGAACAATGTATTAAAAATTTAACAAGAAATTCTATCAATCAAACAATCCCATTTATCGGTTTTGCTACCGATGTGGTGCTGGTAGGAATCGAGGGACAATTTTGTTTCTTTTTGTAATTGCAACCGTTAGTTTAACAAATAACAGTAAAATAGCGATTATTTTATGGGTAATACTAGCTTTGACACCTTCATGCCTTCCAAGCGAAAAATATTAAAATAATATTTATCTCAAAACGCTTGGGATCATGACTGTGTGTTGCGTAGAAAAAAAACAAACATGGATCAACAACTTAATTTGTCACGGAAATAGGCTATACTTAAAAAATATAGTTTTGCTCGTCACCATACCACTATGCACAAATCTTACAATGCTTTTTTTTCAGAAACAAAATATTTGGGGGTGGGGAACTTGGGATCATTGATGAAAGGAAATCGAAATTACCCCATAACAGGGTAAAAAAACGCATTATTACACCATTTTTTGTGTGCGAGTCGAGTTTGATGGAGTTTAATACAGTTTTAAAATGAAAACCAAAACTCTTAACATTTTTAACAATTTCTGCATTTTAAATATCTTTGATCTTATAGCATCTGCCCCTCCTCCTCCCCCCCGTTAATCCTCACGTTGCGGTCCACGAGAAATAGTTGTCATATGTATGCGGCCTGCGTGAAATAGTAGTCACATGTATGTGGCCCGGCTGAAATAGGGTTGAGTACAGCTGATTTAGAGCTTCGACAGATTTAACACGTATTAATTCTAAAGGACCCTTTTTTAGTGGCACTCGTATTCGAACCCATGACTCGGCAGAAGCAATTCTGGACACAAGACTGTGACCATGATCATTCGGTTACGGCAGCAGCATGCGATAAATCGGAAAGAAACGAAAATTATAGTTTGTTCGGGTATTCAAGATTTCTCTAACAAATTAAATGTAAACAATAAAGAAAATTTAAATATAAATATTCATCCAGACTATTAATCTCTTTCAACAGCTAGTTATTCTGTATTTTTTTATAATTAAAAATTTCTATTTTGCTTAAGTTTTTTTAATTAATTAAAGCATAATATATATTTTTTCAATACCTACGTAACATTATATTTCCTCACACTCTCTAGTGACAACCAATAAATCCCCCCCACACCATGCAATTTTTAAAAATTATTTGAATCTCTTAATTAAGTCTGTTTTCACTTATTGTACACACACAGAAACATAATACAATTTTCATGAATGAATGAATTTTAGACACACGAGAATATTTTCTTACATAACAGAATTTCAAATAAATCAATTTTTGTTTTAATTTAAAAAAAAAAAATTCTGATTTAAAGATTTTTTAAAAAGATACCTCTCAACGAAAATTTTTAAACGCAGTAAAGTTTTAATTGTATAAGATATATGTGAGCTCTGATCTATTTATGCAGAATAACAACATCGGGCTACTTTAACGAATAAGAAAACATTCACAGCAGTAAGCGACCCCCTAAAACATTAGGAGATTTTAAAACATGAATTACGCTTTTTATCTCCTAAAATGTACGTTTATACAATGTTCTTGTCTGCTTTTAGATGAATACAGTAAAACAAGCTGAATTACATAGTTTTATTTTATTATTGCATACAGTAGAACATGTTTTTGTGCGGTAGATAGGGACCGTATAAAAAAACCCGCACAAAAACATTCGAAAATTTCATAAAAATTCTTACGTATAACAAACAAATTCGTCGAAATATTACAGAATTTTTTTTTTTATGCCGTGGAGAGGGATAGCATGAAAAAGTCCCCCCGCACTTAGAAAATACGGCAATCATTTACGAGAAATTTATGAGAAAGTACTTCCACGATAAAATAAATAATTAAATTACACATGGAAAATATTTAAAAAGATTTAGTTTCGCATCATATGCATGGAGAAGTTTTCAAA